CAGTACCAAAGTGATTTACCAGGACTCAGCCATCAGTACCAAAGTGACTTATCAGGACTCAGTCATCATTACCAAAGGATTTACCAGGACTCAGTCATCAGTGTTTCTGTTTGTTAGTTTTCATCTCAGCCATTGAACTATTTCTCTTGATAATTCATAAGTAAAGGTTTTGGAAATGGTAAAATCTGATTATTTCCCCCACATTTCTAGACATACTTTTTATTTTACCCTCCAGTGTCAGGTGAGCTGGGTATAGAATTTGAGGTTCCTGGCTCCTGGCTCTCAGGATTTTGAAGCTGCTGGTCCCTTTATGTAAGGCCAATCTCGTGTAACCACTGCGGTGGCTTTCTGAGGGCTCTTTATCCCCTGCCTCTCTCCAGTCCCAGGTCTTCTGCACTGTGTATCAGTGTGCCCATTTTGTTGCTGCTTTGTACAGCGCATTCTTTCCTCCGTGTCCTCACCCTTCTAGAAAACTTTCTGCGATGTTCTCGTTCTTTTCTGCATTGTTTTCTCCTTCCTCCTTTTCCAGTTTCTGGTGCTTATCTCCCAGATTCCGCTCCACTCTTGGGGCTCTGTAGAGAGTAGGCTCACGCCTTTGTAGCTAGTGTGAATTCGCATTCATCCCCTTAGTTCTTCTCTTCAGCTTGCCGTTTATCCCTTTTGCTTTATTGAGGGGTTTTAGTGTGACTTTTGGTGTGCATCTTAATAAAACCATTTCTGAGCATTTGTTGCTTCTCACTATTCAATTTTTGCTTAAGGACTGTGATATACAAAAGGCTTTAAATACTTGTCAGACCCTTTTCTGTTAATTAATCACATCTGGAGTGAACACCCCTGACTGAGGAGTCTGGGCTGCCTTACTTAGCATATTATTCCTTCATGGGCTGTAAGATGTTTCTTTTTTCTGGTTTAGTGTGAGTCATCAGGACTTTCTGTTTTTGTTCTTGCTTCATGCCCCCTGTCTGGCTGGTTCTGGTACACACACACACACACACACACACACACACACCTGAGTTCCTACTATCCATTTAGAGATCCAGTGTAAAATCTGGGCACAACTGGATATGAGCCCTCATCTGCAGTTCTTTCTAGAATCTCAGATTGTAATACTCAGGCTCAGAGGTATGATCGAGAACTCCTAGGGACACATGCTCATGTGCATGTATGCACTAAGAATTATACTTAGGCTCCCACATGCCTGTGACTTACACCCTCCACTACTGAGCTCACGCCTAGCCCTGTGACTATCTATTATACTTGGAGGAACTTTGTGAACCCGTTGTTGATGAGGTGCTGTGAAATGCTCAGTTGATGAATTCTCTGTCAGTTAGGACCAATGTTAACATCATCCACGGAATCAAACTTCGAAGCCCACAGGTGACCATGAAAATCCTTGGTCCCTTTAATGTCTTTCCCCTTTCTCCACAGGTATCAGAGCTGTGTTCTCGGGACACTACCACAGGAATGCTGGGGGAACCTACCAGAATCTTGACATGGTGGTTTCATCTGCCATCGGGTGTCAGCTAGGCAAAGACACCCATGGGCTCCGTGTGGTGGTCGTCACTGCAGAGAGAATTGTTCACCGTTACTACAGTTTAGATGAGTTAAACAGGGGGATCGAGGACGACCTGAGGGAGCTGCTGAAGGAGTGATTGTTGCCCAGAGTCCACCCAGATCTCACACCCAGCACCTTCCATTCTACCACGATAGTCTCAGCCCTTTATAGAAATGTCTGAGCAGAAAGGCGGGTTTGTGAATGGATGTGCTTTTACATAAATCAAAATGCTGGGTCCTAGCCTTAATTATTTTCATAAGAGGACTGTCTTTCCTTTAAAATCCAGACAAGACGGCTGTGGCTGTTTTCTAATTGTGGGGTGAGACTTTCCACATGATGTTTGGGTAAATTCTTCTCATTGTGCAGCTTTTAACTCTGCCCTTGAATTCACTGTTTCTGACAACTTACAATCAATAACCACCTACTGCCCTCAAACCCAACTCAGTACCCAAGAGCAATCTTTAATAATTCCTCAAACAAACTGCATCTGCTTTTGTTAAATTGTGGTCATGACTCCCAGAATGCTAGGAACAAAGGTTCCCCCTCCTTCCTGCCAGACCAAATAGTATCCCCCCATACCCCCATCCAGAGCCAAATAGGTTCGTCATCATAACAGGTAGCTTCATAGCCATCATTGGCTGTGAGTCTCAGGACTCTCATTTCTGCTTGTGCTATGAAGATGGTGCAGGGGTCCACGCCAGGGTGTGTTTGCCTTTCTGATGACAAACATCACCTTTAGACATGCAGACTCTGTGTTCCAGAAAACCAGAACAGAGACTGCAGCGTGAAGACCCTACACAACCCACGTGTTTCCCTGTGTGTATTCTCCTGTAGGCAACCCACCCATTGTGAGAGCTGTGACCTGGTGGGAAAGCGGGACTTGACACAGACTTCTCCCAAGAACAACACAGAACTATATCATTGGGTATAATTAACATTGTACCATGTTAATTGCCACTTACATACAGTATCCCTGGACAGAAAAGAGTGGGTTACTTAAAATCCTTTTCACCATGGAATTCGCTCTGCTGCCTCCCCTGGGAGCTCTGACCTTTGTGAATGTTCCTCTGTGTACCAGCCGTCCTGGTGTGCAAGTAGCCAGGGCCACTACATCCTGCCAAGGAAGTGTTATAGCATCCTGAAGCAGCACTGGAGAATCTAAAACCAACTTTAAAAACTCACTGGTTATAAATGAACCTCAAAGCCCACTAAATTAGAAAACTTTCTTGTTAAAAAGTTTTAGTCAATGTAGCAAAACCATGAGAAATTAAATAAAAAGATAATTGGATATATAAATTCATGAGGAACAAAAGATACAAGAAGTTAATTATTTTACAGATTGGTGACACACTAGAGCTCATTGTTAGGAAGCACAAGAAAATTAAATTTTTCAAACCACAGTGATCTTGCAGTGGTTGGCTGTGTTCCTGTTTGTTTTTGTTTTTTTACAGCAGAGTGTAAGAGGTCAGGAGAGGTCCTGGGTCCCAAAATGCATGAAACCTGAGCATTGCCACTTTTCAGAGCAACAGGGATATCCAAGTGGGGTTTGCTGCTATGGGGAGAAAAAACTGTGTAATCTATGTAACTCAAATAGCAAGTCACTATTCTGTTCTCTCCTAGGCCTTGTCTTTAAAAAAAATTTTTTTTTTTCATTAAAAGGAAATAAAGACTTCCCACATGTCCATGCTGTTTCTTTCCTTGTTTTGTTTTTGTTTTTCGAGACAGGGTTTCTCTGTGTAGCCCTGGCTGTCCTGGAACTCACTCTGTAAACCAGGCTGGACTCGAACTCAGAAATCCGCCTGCCTCTGCCTCCCAAATTCTGGGATTAAAGGCGTGCACTCCTACTGCCTGGCACCTGTGCTGTTTCTGAATGCTCTTCAGGTGTCTCCAGTGTCTTCGCTCTGGAAGGCTCAGATTGGATGCCTGGGCACCAGACCATCAGTGGACGTGGAAGGACAGGGGTGCAGGCAACTGCGTCCTCAGACAGTGCATGCCTGTCAGGTAAGGTGCTATTCTTTGCTGTTGCTGTGGTTTTCATTGGGATATGGCTTGATCAAAGATGATTCCAGACTTGGAAGTTTGGTCCTCGTCATGCAGCCATGCATGACGAAGTCCTACAGACGAAGTCCTACAGAAGGCCCTTAGGTCACTCTTGGTCTCAAGTTGCTCTCTAGCTTCCTGTCTCACAGTGTGATCTCTGGCCACTGCAGTGTCATCTACCATCACGAGCCATCATGAGCCATCACGCCTGCCCTTGAAGGCCAGACAGTGAAACAAACCTTTTGCTTTATGAAATACCTAGTAGTCTCATGTATCTCCTTACAGTGGCCGACTAATGCACTCTTTGCTTATAGTTCCCACCCCTCAAGTTCAGAATACTGGTTCCCCCCCGCCTTCTCATTAGTCATTTTAACTGGAAAATCAGAGGAAAGTTACTTAAAGTGGTTTTAACTGGGATTTTCAAGTCTGGGGCTGGGGGAGGGGGTTGCAAAGGAGAATGGTCTGGGAGATGATTGTCTTACTGAATTTTTTATAAGTTTATCATGGATCCTAAAGTTTGGAGGATACAGATCGGTGGAGGTAGCAAAATATGGAGTCACACATGGCGTTGTCATGAGCTAGCAGCAGGGAAGTTCCGTTGATGCTTTCTGTAACAGATCCCGAGGGGATGCTCTTCTTTCATAACCATAGCAACTTGGCTACACAGGTGAAAGAGAGCAGCATGTGGCTGGCAATTATATGTATACATATCCATAAAGTGCTGTCTTTTATCACAGAGTGCTGAGTATATACATAAGCGCATGCATGTGTGTGCATATATGTGCATTTTTTTTTAATAATCACAGCATTTTTCCAGCTGGAGTCTCTCTCCTTCAGTTAGTTTCTGTTTCCTTGAAAACTTGGTGACTTCACAGTATTTACTGAGCGAGTCTTCCCTTTATGCTTTCATAGGTGTGTAGGCAAATTTGATCAAATAATGATGTTGCCTTTCATTATTCCATCTGACATCTTTAACAGTAATCTCCCTCGTTTATGGTGCTTTGGAAAAAGCCTTATTGAGATATCAGGCCCCACTCACTGCATCCCGTGTCTGCCTCTCAAGCCACCCCTTCACGCTGTTCTGCTGTGACAGGCACTGGGATCTTGTTATCATTTTTCTCAGTTCAGTAGTCACTCCTGAGAGTGGTTCTCCTGCACCACACTGTGGGGTGGTAGACTGTGAAAGGACAGCATGGTCTCTGGTCGAGCACTGGCTAGAGATGGCCAGAGACCCAACAGGTTGGAGACCTCACAGGTTTCCCTTCAAGGGACAGCATGCATTTCACCACGCTACCATACTCCAGGCTCCTGACATGAGGCAGAAGATCACCATCAATCCGCGCCTTTCAGGCACGTAGGACAATGCCCCTACCAGCTCCTCCACAGGTAGAGGGCATGACTACAGGCCACAGAGATCTCCATATTAATGAAAGACCTAAAGGCCAGAGGGTGTAGCCAATTAAGCATTCCTTCCCAGACCCTCCTCCTTGCAAAAGGTATTTAACCTCAGGCCTGCCCTGAGAACATGGAGTACAGCTTCATCCATTTTCTGCCATGACAATAAACCTTTTAAAACCATGGACTTCCTCTAGTCTTTGGGGCCTGCCGTAGGGGACTGTGGAGAAGGTCTTCAACTACCAAGCCTGTCTAACCTCCTGCAGGACCTCTCTACATTCCGGCCACAGAAGCCACACAGCAACTTGAGCCAGCTGAGGCCCAGCCAAGCAAGTTGCCATGACCAAGAGTCTCATCTCCCCATAGGGTGCCACCCGGAGCTCATCTTCCCCTCCATCCTTTTCACCTGTGGGTCACTCTAGCCCATACACTCCCCCTCTCCCCCACCCCCGTCTCTACTCTTCCGCAGCCTCTCAGCAGTGCTTGGGAGCCCAAGGGTCTGAAACCAGCCAATCGCCACCCGCCTTCTTGCCCAGCAGTCCCCAACCCAAGAGTTCCAGCCACGTGGGACCTCAGACTGGGATCTTCCCACTCTAGCCCAGAGTCCACTTGGAGCCTTGTGGAGTAAACTCAGTCGAATTCCTGCGCTTATGCCCCCTGAGCCGCAGTTCTAGCCGCCTGGGGCAGCAGACACACAGGACCCACAACTCAGCCCAACAGGACTCACACCCAGGCACGAGCCACAGCCCCACACCACACAGCAAAGTCTCCTTATTTATTTGATTTGGTTTTGCTTTTTAGCAAATTTAGCAAATGTAGAAATGTGCTTAGATGACAACCAAAGACCATTAAAAGTCACCTCCACCAAGATGCAAGCCGTAGGACCACCAGGATCATTCCTGTCACTTGCCATCTGTTCGCAATGCCTAGCACTGTGCCAGAATATGGAGTGTGGCCTGGCCTTCCTTTCACAGAATAAAGTGAGAGAGCAAAGCTATATACAACAGCAATCACAGGCAGCCAATATGAATCCTTGGTGCCCAAGAGGAAATAAGGAAGGAGCCCTCTTCCTTAGCCCTGTGCTGCAGCTGGAGTAGCTCCAGATCTCAGCTTTTATGTTTCATTTGTTGTTTTTGTTGAGATGGGGTCCTCACATATACCAGGTTAGCCTGAGACTCAGCTATCTAGCCAGAGATAACTGTGAACTCCCAATGCTGGGGTTCTAAGCATGTGCCACCACACCAAGCTCTTGAGTTTTATTTTGTTTGTTTGTTTTTTAATACCTGCATGTGCACATGGTTGCACATTCCTAATCCAAAATTTCAAATGTTGCCTTTTCCTGTGTTAGAACATTTTGGACTTCATATATCCAGAAGAGGGATGCTCACCCTGATTCTCTCCAAATTGTCATGTAAGCTAGATGTCAGAAGTCAGAAAATAACCAGTAGTGCCACTTTTACCATGGGTCCCAGGGCACAGTGAGTATCGGAGGGAGGGAGTGGGCGTCTCAGACCCCAGCTCTTCCGAGCCTGGTTTCCTGGATGAATAGGGGCTGTAACCAAAGCCGCAGAGCCAGAGAAGTGCTGACCCAGCCTGGCAGCCACAGGCAGCAAACCGCAGAAGAGAGGTCTATGGAGCAGGTGCCGCCCAGCGAGCCTTCGGAGATGAAGAGCTCTGCACAAGGATCTGCAGCTGCTGGCCCAACAGGAGAGGCAGCATGTGAGTGAAGGATGAGAGACAGAATGTCATACTGCACTTGAGCAGAGAGGAGAGCAGCAACTGGTGCCACCCAGAGATTCGTGGACTGAGTGTCCACAGACCAGCTCCCCCCATCCCCCGTAAATGCCCTAAAGCAACCTCTGAGATTGGAAACTGGACAGATTGAAAGAACTTAAAACCTAGACAATAGTGCTGCATTGGATAGGAGAGTACAGATGTCCTCATGGTGTTACCGCCTTGCAGGTGTGCATGGGGAGATGGAAAGATGGGCCAATAGTTGAGCATAATACATGTGTGTATGTATATGTATGTGTGTATGTATGTGTGTATGTATGTGTGTATGTATGTGTGTATGTATGTGTATATGTATGTGTGTATGTATGTGTGCATATTTTAGCCTTTAAAGGGATGGGTTTCTGCAACTTGTCATAAAACAAATGGACCTAAAGTACATTATACCATGGCAAGCCAAGCACAGAAAATGTTGCCTGGTGTCACTATGTGAAATATAAATGTTAACAGTGTAAATTGTGCTGGAAAGATGGCTCAGCACTTAAAGTGTTTGCCACAAAAGCAGCAAGGATGAGGGCTGGAGTCTGGATCCCCAGAACCCAGTTAAAATTTCAAGTGAGTGCACAGCCTGTCTGTAACCAGTGCTCATCCTGAAGCAAACTCGGTAGTGACAGTAGCTGTGTGGGTGAGCTCTGGCTCAACTGAGAGACCTGCCTCAGCATAAAAGGGAAGAACAGTTGGAGAAAACTCCTGTCATCAGCTGTGGCCTTTAACCCGCCTGCACATGACATGGGCACTCATATGCATGCACACCACACACAGAAGTACATACATGTGTATGAGATTTGTGTGTGTGTGTGTAAAGATATTCATACATATATCTTTATGTAAGATATATAAGGATAGTGATAAACAGTGGTTCCAGGGGCGGAGGAAAGAAGAAGATGTAGGGCAAGGAATTCAGAGTGGCTAACAGGTAGAATAAACAAATTGGAATCGCAGGTAAAACATGAAGGCATCTGCCCATGCATAGGTTACAGCTGTTCTTACTGCGGAAGGAAAGGTGGTAACTGAAGTGATGGACAGGTTCATCTCTCTGGGAGGGAGGGAGGGAGGGAGGGAGGGAGGGAGGGAGGGAAGGAGGGAGGGAGGGAGGGAAGGAGGGAGGAAGGGAGGGAGGGAGGGAAACGGGGGGGGGGGGAATGTTCAACTGATGGTTTCATGGGGTTTTGTCCATAGCTTTGTACTGTTGGGTCTGGGCCCACAGAGAAGCAGAACCTCCGAAGAGTAGGAGCATGTGACAGAGGCTGCTCACCTCATGTCAGACAGAAGCAGAGAAAGTAAAGGACTAGGCATAACCCTCAAAGGTGAGTAGTCACTCTGTCTGGACCCCATCTCCTAAAGGTTCTGTAACCTCCCAAAATAGTGTTGCTAGCTGGGGACATGCATTCAACACATGAGTTGTTGAAGGTATTTCCTCTTCCAGACACAGCAGAATGTGCACCCTATAGCATCCCA